TATATATATATATATATATATACATATATATATATATAACTAAACGAACTTTATGGTTGTACGGCAGTGAAGCATCAGTGCGAACACTGATGTTGCTGTCATTGATGATGATGACATCTATTAGCCGCCATTTTTTGCAACGTCTCTAGCCAAGCACAGACGGGGTCGCGGGGACCCACCCTGGAAGGCGTACAACACCCAAAGTCATGCGCTGTCCACCTCGCGGTTTGCGCCATCCTGAAGCAGGCACGGGGAACAACAGTCATCTCGGTAGACGGTGGTTCGGCATGCGTAGCACATAACCGAGCCATCGTAGTCGATGATGCTGGATGTTTTCTCGGATTGGGGTGCCTGCAGCACAACCAAATACCCGTTTTATAATCACCTCATTACTAAGACGCTGACGCCATCTAAAACCAGCCACGCTTCTGAGGCATCGGCGGTCGAAAACCTGAAGACGCCTCACATCATCTGTCCGCAGAGGCCATGTCTCCCACCCACACAACGATACAGCCCTTACCGTAGCCTGATACACACAACCCTTAAGATTCAGTGTGATGCTTTTTTAATGCCACAAGTGACGTGGCTTCATCAGACACACTTCCGTCTGAGTTAATACAACTACCAAGGTATGTAAAGTTTTCCATAATCTCCAGTGATTCTCCTTGAAACAAAAGGGATTTGTTCGCAGATGGCATGTTCTGAAGCATGACTTTGCACTTTGAAGGTGCAAGGCGCATGCCAAAAGATGGTATGATGTTCGCCAGTCTATTCAACAGGGCTTGTGCCTCGCTTTGGTCTTCAAAGATTAGAGCGATGTCGTCTGCCCACTCCGAATCGACAGGGCTCTCACCAGCAGCAATTTGACCGAACGAAGACGACCACCCAATCAGGCCTCAGAAGCCCTTAGTCTACCTAACTGGGCTTTCATATCACCAGCAACCACAACGACATCTGAGCTTTTAGAAGGGCACATGGAGAGTCATAGAAACTATCTTTGGCAGACTCAGAGATGCAGTCAGTTGGGTCGTTGGCAATTGTTTACTAGTCGATCAATATCCACAAAAGTTCAAGACGTGTCAGAATGTCCAGCTTCAAAAACTGCATATGTGAAGCTTGCTTTCCTGTCCAATAGCATGTAACTAGTTGGTGTGCGGCCGCTACAACCACTGTACGACGAGTACGCGGTTATTACAGCTGACAATGATGATGATGAGTTGGCGTTTTCTAATCAACGACTTCGCAGCAGTGGGATTTCTGCTTTGATAACGCATCCACAGGAGGAAGGAGACCGATCAGTGCTATCGACGCGATTAGATGGGATCTGCGTGGTTTGTTTTCGGATTGCGACTGCCCTCTATTAGCCCTTCACATGATGGCTTCCGAATAAATAACCAGCTTTCACTGATGTAAATGATGGATGTTCAGTCTTCAGGTAGTAATCAGCTTTCAACGTAGATTAAACAGCTTGTTAATAAAAATCGTCACCTGTATTTCATGACTATGGTATGTTCTTTCCGTTTGAGCCAGTGTTCTATTTCATTTCGCATTCATTTAATTAAAGAAAAGCTATAAGTGGAAAGTAAGGACGGCTGTTTCAAGATCCCTTTAGTAATACCTAATTTCTGTTCTCTTTACAAGTTGTAGACTATCGTTTCGCCTCTTACATCCTTAGAATGCAAAGAGGTCGAGGCCGCGGTGGTTACAGTGACCGTGGCCGTGGCGGCTATGATGACCAAGGAGGGGGTGGTCGGGGTTCTTACGGACCACATCGTGGAGCCCCTCGAATGAGCGCTGGGTAAGTCTACTCAGCGTTTTCGGTAAGATGATGCCTTGTGCATATTGGTAGTTTCTTACCAACTCTTGTTTCATTGCAGTCCCGATCGATACGGGGACGACCGCCAACGGTTTTCTAGTGGGTAAGTTGATTTCTCCGGGTTCGTTTTGCACATGTCGAGAACCGGAGCACCACTCTATCAACACTCATGAACTCCTATAGACCTCCACCAAGTGCACGGGGATACGGTGGACCCAGACCCCCAAGAGGATCTGATCTGTAAGTAGCGTGACGGCAGTTGAATCTCTTCGCGATCTTATTTTCATCCAATGTCAGTATAAGTTTCTCTTGCTGTTGTATTGCTGCCCTTGATATTGGTTTTTTGTTTACTGTACATCTATTTTACCCGTTTCAACTAAGTGCGCGGGTTTGTCTGTCGAGCCGCAGCAAGTTCTGTTAGAATAAAGACAGCATACGGCGAACTTCCGACTATCTCTATTACCATTGTTAGCGTCTGCATGCAGACCTCCTGTTCTGTCAATATGGAATCACAACTGTTTTATCGTAGCGTTTTCGAAGACTGCAGTGCAAAGTTGTCCATGGTTAATGCTGCACTGATCGTGCAGTCTGAAGTTCCGTACCTCCAACCTACTTCCTGTGCGTCTGAACAAGCATGCATTGCAATGTCCGTCGTAAAGCCGTCTGTTATTAGTCTGAATGGTTTCATGTACGGTCCATTATGGTTTTCGTTTTTCTAGTCCACGAGGCGGCTCCGGACAGCGAGGAGCACCTCGAAGAAACACGGGAGAAATGCCACCTCCTCAATTCCCGTGAGTTGATTCCCTTTGTTGATTCTTGTGAGTCACCGTGCACCTGGAATCTAGTTATAAAGTACGTCATTGCTTGTTGTGTTGTGCAGCCTGCGTTGGCGAGATGGCTCAAGTGGTTAGAGCGCAAATTTACTGACCGGAAGGTTCGTGGTTTTAACCCGACCTCAGCCTCTCGACTTCCCCAGTCGAGTTGGGCAACCTGGCAGTATCCTGGCCCTCGTACTTCCTTCGGGTAGCATGGCAACTAGGCACCGGAAGGGCGTTACAGCTTACAGCTTGCGTTTTACGTTCATTCAGGGCGCTAATCATTCCTTTCGCCCGACAATAGATGGCAGAGGATCTACGGTGTGGGTAGACGAGACCAGTTTTTTTGTCCGGTAGTGTCCCGTAACGACTTAATAGCACATACTGTTGAACTACGCAGTTTTCATGACATCGCAGCTTCGCATACGGTTCGACGCCTGTCCCACAGTATGTTGGTGCTTGCCACTCTTAAAAGTTGGATCACAATCGAAAAACTGACTCACCCACCCGCAGAACGATGTAAGATACAGGTCTCGGGAAGGAACACTAGGTACGAAGATGGAACATGAACACATCTGGAGCACCCAAGAAACATTAACGAATAGCAGCAGTTCTTGACATTTGTGGATCCAACTTATTGGCATAAAATGATTCCTATTAGAAAAGAACCCTGTACCGGGGGGGTTAGGCAGGTCAGGCGTATCCCAACAGAGGCGTCCGAGATACCTAAATATTGATGCAATCAGTCAATGAGGGTTGTTTCAGTCCCGTACAAGGCGATAATTTGTTTTGACAGGTAAATTCTACTCATCTAATAAGAATTTTCTGTTCTAGACCCCGTGGCCGAGGTCAAGCCTGGCAACCGAGAGGCGATATCGGAGGAGAGCAGCAAACGTGAGTCTGTCGCCTGTTTTTTCACCTGTTTGTTCTAGCTCCCTCGGGTTAGATGATTTCCCGCCTCCAACGTCTGGTGAGAAACTAGTGGGGCAAAGTAGAGAGACGTCAAGTGAACGGTGAGTACATTACTCTTCCTTAGTTCGGCTGTCGATTAACTTGAAATCACTGTTAGGCGCTACTATATCACAAACATCCGACTTCACTTTTCAGCGCTCCATCCGAAAGGTCTGTAAGTTCTGACCACAGAAAACCTTCCGAGTAAGTTCTGCACACGTTACCTACCAGTTATCCCTTGGTCCGTCCGCCGTACATCATTAATCTTGGAATTTTTTCAGTGCTGACTATGCTCACAAGCCTGACGGCAGTGGTGATCGCATTTCCCCCTCTGCAAGTAGTGACTCTCTTTCTGAACCGGCACGACAGAAGAAAAGCCACCCGATTCTACGGCCAGGGTATGTTGCACTTGTGCGTGTCAGCGTGCATTGTTCAAGGACAGTGGAAGTTAAAGTTTGTCTGTCTGTCTACTCCTAATATGTTTCGATTATCGCTTTGTATTCCCCTTATACTCTTTTTCAGAAGCGATTTGGTCGGTGCACTCGCCAAGTAAGTCATCACATCACACGGTCAATGGCTTCTATCTCTCCTATCATCTACTGACATTCGAACTTTATTCTAGGCTGAGCATGCAACGTTCGATACACATTCCAAGCAGGCCAGATAAAGGAGGGTCGAGCGGTCAGCGCTGTGAAGTTGTTGCCAACTGTTGGGATTTGAATTTGCTTAGCAAGTCTGTCCTGATGTACTTCATTGAACCCGTGGCCGTTTACCGTTTGGATAAAGAAAAAAAGAAGGTGGAGTTGAATTTGCCTCCTAAGGAAAAACGAGCACTGCTACAACAAGTTGTCAATGGGTAATTTGTGTTTAGCCAACGCCTTGATTCCGTCCAGTTTACACCGAGAGGTCATCTATGATGGTGGTCATGCCATTTACTCGGAAAAGCCCATTCCAGGAGTCACGAAAGATGGTGTGACAAGACAAATAAACATTCTTGATCCACTCAACCGTGATGAGTTACTGCTAGATTATAGGATCATGGAAGTCCAGACCGTCCACACCAGCGATGTAGCCAATTTCATCACCAATTCCAAAGCTACTTCCTTGGATATGCCTCAGGTAATTTTTAGACTTGTCATCACCTTCCCACAGGATAGCATTCGCCTCCTCGACTGCATATTAAAAACCATATGTAAGGGGTCTTTTGAATCTTTTGGACGTGCCGCGCTCTTTTACACTGATCCTGTAAAAGTAGTGCATGACAAATTGTTCTCCATCCACAAGGGATTCATCACAAGTGTGAGACCGCAGTGGAAAGTCCGAGTCAATATCGACATGGTTCGTTTCTTGTATTTTAATTGTCGCATCTCAGACTTGCAAAGCCTTCTTCACCAGTGGGAATTTGGCAGACGTCATGTATGAGAAGTATGGAGATAACATTGTGAATTGTTCTCGTCAGATGGCGATGGATCTTCGACGCATACGAGTAGAAACGATTCCCTTCTACAAAAATGACGCTGGTGAGTTTTCGTGATAGCGTTTGATGATATTCCAGGTGGCAAGTATTCTCGACGTTTCACAGTTCATGGGCTGTCTTCTGAGTCTGCAGCGACTTTGATGATTACAGATGTGAACCAGACCGTTGCCGACTACTTCGACAAACATCACAATATACGACTGAAATACCCAGAATTGCCATGTGTGAAAGTGAACCTGAGTCGTGACGTGTTTTTGCCTATGGAACTCTTGAATATTATCCCCTACCAGGCTCCAAATGCCAAAAAGAGCGAAATCGCGAGTGAAGTCATTCGTTGTGCCGCGATCAGGCCGGAGGAACGTTTCAGAGAGTTAGATAATTTCGTCAAGGAGATAATAAAATCGTGAGTTTGGTCCTTTCAACAACTTGATTTTTATTTGTATGTTAGTTCGCATCCTCTGGTGAAGGAATTTGGTATTCAAGTCGATCCGAGACCACTGAAGATACCGGCTCGCGTTCTGGATACTCCTTCTGCAAGTTTTGGGCGTCAACAGTCCCAATTGGGTCGCGGGAAATGGGTGGCTCCAGCCTTCTTCCACCCGGCAAGCGCTGACGGAGTCATCAATTGGGCTATTTTGTCCTTACCCGGTGATCGAGTGAGTATGCCGTTCATTTTATCTTACTGTATCGCTTTGCGCTCGATAATACTCAATGGAGTTTTATTTTTTCCTTAGAATGCCCAACGCCATCAACAAATGCTGGCGACGCAGCTTCCCTCAACCGCTCAACGCTTTAATGTTATGATGAACCGCCCAGAATGTGCAATCATTCAAAGAGCTGATTTGCAGCATCAATTCCAGAAACTCATTAGCCGAGTAAGTACCCTACATTAGCTGATCCGTTTAAAATTTGTTTCGGCCATTTGTTGATTGTTTTCTTTATTTCTAGGGTATCCACTTCATTCTCTTGGTGTTGTACGATGACTTGAACTACCCGACAATCAAGCGTTTGGGCGATTTGCAAACCGGTATGAGAACGCAGTGTGTGAGAGGTCGGACCTTGGATAAACCCAACGTGATCCGTATGTTCCCATTTTCACATTTCACTCCATTACAGCTAACCTTTTGCTGAAAATCAACGGCAAGCTTGGTGGGATCAACTGGCAGATTACCGATGTTATGAGGAATGACGAGCTCGTTATGGTGTTTGGTGCCGATGTCACACATCCAGCTCCCACACAGACTCAGCAAGTTAGACAGTCCATTGCTGCGGTGCTTGGAAGTGTTACCCCTGACTTGATGCGCTACGCTGTTGTAGTGCGTCAGCAAGCCACAACAGAAAAGGGGAATAAGACTACACGTGAAATTATTGACTCAATGGATTCGATTGTTGGTGAGCTCCTAAAAGTAAGCTTTTGCATATCATCGATTAGTCTCTCCGTGGTTTGCTCTTATCTGGCCTGTATTCGACCGCCTACGGTCCCGTAAGTGGGATCGCCGAGTAACTCTTCTATCATGCGAGCATGGAGCCGATCGACATTTTTGTTGATAATACGGTGTCAACAAACAGGCAAACCAAACGTTAACTATACACTAGGGGTTCCCAAGTTATTCGAGCTGGGCCGTTGATCAGAGTGTAAGTGCGGTTGGAGTTGGAAGAGACCTTGCGTCATAATTGTGACTTCTCAAGTCAGTGACGCAACCTTACCGCTCGGACGGGTAGCTTCAACATTCGCGAACCCGCAGAAAGTTAACCGTATGTTTGTATTAGTATCGGTTAAGCGTAGATGGGCTCTCTTAGCATTTCCCATATGTGGGTCGTGGAATAACAAAGAGCACAAATCGCACGGGCTTAGTATTGTTGCACCTTCGTAATTCGTCCAACCGTCGGCTCGAGTTCTAATCAGCACACCGTAACCTCTATTAGCATGTATTTATGCACGCATGGTCTATTTATCGGAGTGTCGTTAATTTTGTGACCGCTCCGTAACCGGTTTCCATGTTTTCATAGGTGTCGCTTGACCAAAACTGACCGGTCAGTGATATTCTCTCTTTCAGGCTTTCTGCCGTAACACCAATGGTCGTTTCCCAACCCGGCTTATCTTTTATCGCGACGGGGTTTCTGAGGGCCAATTCGAAAATGTTCTGGTGGAAGAGCTCGCTTCAATACAACGAGCGTGCACTGCTCTCCGTCCTGATTACGAACCTGCTATCACTTACATAGTGGTACAGAAGCGCCACCATATTCGTTTTCGTCCCATGAATCCTCGGTACGTTTCCTCCCCTCGTTTGACTCATTCACACCATTCATTCTAGACAACGCAATGTTGACCCGGGTACCGTAGTCGATACTCACGTGACACACTCCCGTGAATTTGACTTCTACCTCTGTTCTCAAGAGGGCATTCAGGTGAGAGATTTCCTGCCAGGTCATTGGATTTTACGCATTATTTTCATCATATTTACATCCAATTTCCCTCTTTTTCTCCAGGGTACATCTAAACCGGCTCACTACCACGTGCTATACGATGATAGCAACTGGACTTCAGACGCATTGCAGCGCTTCACATTTTTCTTGTGCCACGCTTACATGCGTTGTCCCCGCAGCGTATCCTATCCTGCACCAACTTACTATGCCCATTTGGCAGCCTTCCGCGCACGTGATTGGGTTTCGGATCTCGAAAAACCAGGCGTGCTTCTCAAGGGCGGTCGTTTTTGTGTCCACGAAAGCCAGATAACAGGGATGTATTACTTATAAATTTTGCACGCTTTTTGTAACCAATAAAGATTTACATTTTCTACTATATTTTGTCTTTATTCGTTGAGCATCGAACGTGAGCCCGCCAAGATGTATTTCTCGGCAAGGTTCCCATAGAACCTATGCAGCTTTCCCCCGTTTGATTGATGTTTGCGCATAGGTCTAGCAACTATAAGTGCTATCTTGCAGTTCTTTGAAGATAACTCCGCTGGTTCCGCACCCGCAGCGAAGTATGTCGGTGCTCATTAAGATGTGTTAACATATCCTTCTTTCCAGATCCGCAGAGGTTTCATCGCGGCTTGGAGTCCGCTCAGGATGATTCATTCACATGACAGTTCGGGAAACTCATTTATTTCACTTCATTTATAAGGGTTCTACAGGGAAAGCTGGAGTCAGCTTCTCATCGCTTATCGTTCGTCCTAGTAGCTGGATGGCATCATAAATTAGTGTTTTGCGAATGGGAATATCCTTATCTCCAGGGCCTGATTTTCTGGATGGGTATACCATATTTCTTGTCACAGGGAGAAAAGGCCAAACACGAACGTTTCGGCCATATTAGTATATGGTAGTGAACGATGTTCCCCCGGGCCATTCCTTTCGACATCCCAGGAAGTTTTTTGCACGAATGCGGGCGATTGTCTTGGAGTGTAGGAACGTGATACTACCCGAGGACCACTGGTTGACTCCTTGATCTTTGTGCTTCACGTTATTCAACTTCAAAGTCAGACCTTTCCTGTGCTTTCCATCTTCACAAGTCCCGTTTAGAAGTATCAACCACGCGTTCGCCATAGCCGCTGCACTGCGTCGGACAGGGTGGGCTACGTAAATGTTAAAGTTCTTGAGGAGTGTCAGCTAAGCTCTACTGTCTGCTACTAGAAGCTCCGGGACCGCAAACTGCGCAAGCGGTCCGTTAACCATAAAAGTCGTTTCTGCACCCAAACACCGCTTCCCACAATGAGAACATTAGCAACGAGCAGGATCACGCAGCTTCGCACAGGTTGACGGGAACGCGGAAACAGCCCAACTTATGAGCCTCAAGAAGAGTGAGACTGGCCGTGGGCTGTTGAAGGGTTTGTTCCTTCATCCCACTTCGCTTAATTTGTCTAGTACATCCGTGCTCACTGGATCACGCTACTCATTTGTTCCGCAGATGCACAAATCAAGTGACAAAACCTTGTCCCGCTCGCAACGTAAACCGACAAGTCAGTACCCATCTTGTACGCGTCGGAACGATTCTGTGTATGATACAGAGGTCAAACTTTCCTATATATAGGAAAATACAACACAGTCACCGCATGTACGCGCGCTCATAGGGGCAGGAAGTCAACCAAACTCCACAAGTCCATGGACAATTACGGAACATAGAGAAAACGCGTTCCCCCGTCCGGACTTTCACCTAGGAACTCTCGGGTTGTCCACAAACGACAAGTCACCTTTTGCCTTATTCCACTGTTCGCACTGTATTTTATCATGGTACAACTAGTGACTGTAGACTAATATCTATCCCAGTAAAAACTGTTATTCGTGCATACACCTTCTGAGTTTTCTTATGGCTACCATAAACTGTGCACTAATCGGTTTTCAGCAACCTTACGAGTATTGTGCTCCGCCGAGAAAACAGCAAACACTGGATTTCGGTTCTTATGTCAGCCCTCTAGCATTCTGTGGAAACTATTCAAAGCGAAAGCAGCTAACGTCTTTGTAATGTACTACTCATAAGGTTGCTGAAAATCCGTCGACAGCCCACGACCGGTTTCGCCCTTTTTGGGGCTCATCATGTGAGTCTTTCGAAA